TTGCAGCAGCAGCAATAATCTACAACTACAGCAATAACCAACAACAGCAGCAATTCAGCAGCAGCGTAGCAGATCTATTCTGCCAAGACCAAATACATTAACATTGTCATATCCATCACCATGCTAAAATCTTCAGAGAGTTGTCATGATTGAACTATAGTTGACCAGATGAGCAGGACATTTCTTGAACGTTTTTATGAGATTTACCCATTGCATCTATAAAAAGTCAACGTCAGTGTAACGTTACATTTGGTCATTTACCACATGCTTTATTTTAAAGTTTGTTTGTTTTTTGCACCTGTGATTATTTCTGGACAATGCATTAATAATGCTAAAGTGTTGATGTACTTTATTATATGTATTTACAGATACATGAATGCTTTTTGCATATAAATAAATAATAATAAAATAAAACAACTAAATATTTTTTACATAAAACTAACTGAAAAAATAATCAAATAAATTAAATAATGTATTATATTTTTTGTTTCAGTTTTAGTTTTATATCAAATATTTAGTTTTGTTTTATTTTTATTAATTTTTATTAAGTTCTGATTAAACTATAACTGACAGAAATAATGAACTTTCTGAGATGCAAAAAATGAATAATGTGAAGTTTGCATTTCTGAAAAATTTACCATTGACAGAAACAGCCTAGTTCTTTTTTTTTTTTTTTTTTTTTTGCATAATTGGTTTTCCTGTTTACTTTATAAACCACTTTAAAAAGTGGCCAATGGCACGGTGGACGTGTGTGTACTTTTAAAATTAAGTGCAAATAAAATCAGATTTTGATCTAAAGTCCATTTAAATCGACTCGAATTATGGCTTTAAATACCACTTGCAGCAGTTCGTGTTTTTAGTTAAAGGTTTGAAGTTTACGATTGTTTTCGAGCACTGATTCATTGTTTCAGCAGAAGGGATGATATTTGTGATGTGATATTTCAATATTTTCAGATTATCACCTGTCAATCACAGATTAATGGATTGTCTTTGTTCTGACAACATAAATAAACCTTTTGACTTCCTAAAATCACTTGTGATCGTCTTGACATCTGACAAGATGCTGTTACTGCTCTTAATTGTTTTCTGATTGAGCTATAGGTTTATTTTAATGGTTTAAATCATTTAAAATAATTTGGTGCATTTGCATGTGGATAAACCTACCTGACATTTTCAGGAAAAATATAATACAATTTAATTCTAATTAAAGATCCGTTTATTCAGAGTATTTAAATTTTTCTTTAAATGTTACAATATTTGACCGTTCGGAATATATTGATATACTATTATAGATTTTGTTAATTTTGAAATATTTAATTTTTATATTTTCACTTTAAGTTTAGTTAAGGTTTAGTAACTTTGTCGCGTTTGTAATTTTTATTCGTTTTTTTTTTTAAGTCTGTCAATATTAATTTTAGTTTTAGGTTAATTTTCATTTTAGTTTGCATACAATTTAACACTATTTCTACAAAATGGTAGGAAATGTACAGTATGCACGGTGCAGTATTCAGTAAGCAAGGGCATAGCTTTGGGTTTGATATTGGCGGGGACATAACACCAGACACCAACAGGAGTTAATCCAAATTTCACAAAAAGCTTATGGACGTAATTATAATAGACACTGAAGTGACTTGCTGTTTTTGTCACTCTTCTGAGGAAGATGTCATTCACTTGTTTTGGCAAGGTACCCACACAGAGAAATGTTGGTCAGATTTTTTTAATGTTCATCCAATCTCATTTTGTAAGTGACTTTTCTAACTGCTTTAAAGAGGTTTTATGTGGCTTGTTAAAAGAGGATATAGGAAAATATAAATTTTTGTTTCCTGTTAGCTAAAATTCACATACATAAACAAAAATCTGGCTCTTTGAAAGTTGATCTAGACAAGTATGTGGAAACGATCCAAAGCTCTGTTAATCCTACAGCAGTTAAAATTGTATCATATTCATCCTATGTGTCCTCTTATGGTGTAAATTTAAATTTATTTTAATTTTTTTACCTGTAAACACATCCCTTACGAAAATTAACCATGGTTTTATTACCCCCCCAAAAAATAAAAATAAAATAAAAAACGTTTACACCGTGGTTGCTATAGTTAAATGGTAACCGCAAAAATCCAAATCAAATGATTCGCGATCCGCGCTCCGAACTCCCGATCTGACTCAAAAGATTCGCGAACCCGCTCTGAAGTTCCGATCCAAATCAAAAAGATCCGCGCTCGAAGTCTCGATCTGAATCAAATGATTCACGAACCGAATTTCCCATCCAAATCAAACGATTCGCCGTGATTCGGATACACCGTCGGCACTACTACTGGCTTAGCTCGTTAATTTCATGACAATAACTGAAATTAAGCGAAAAAAGTATGATGTTTACAAATAAAATATCCATATTTCCATCCCGAACCGCCTTCCACGTCGAAACATCCAACACTACGAACATAATCAGGTGAGGTAACCGGTTTACTGCTAACTAGTGAAACACTCCATTAATACGACGAGCTGCAGCTCAAAATACATGTTAGATAGAAACATTGTGCATAATGATCGGGTTTGTATCTTAATTTACTATATTTGAAATAGTTTGACACGTGCAGTTCAGTTGCTGACAGTTCAAGAGGAAATCAGTTGAAATCATCCAGTCCCTCAAACCATTGAAGTGAATACTCAATTTATGAATATTGTAATAAATATTTGAGAAATGATTGTTGTATCTGATTGTATTA